TCATCATTTCGATGACCCGCATTAGTTCACAGAGGGACACCGAGGGAACGCTGACTAGGCATTTGGCTAGGCTGCTTAGCGCTAAGCAATACGCTTGAAATAGCTAAGCCAAGCTTACCTCTGTGTCAAAACTCCATGCCCAGAGACACCAACTGCGTGTTGGGTCGAGGTGGGACTTGTCGATTTACTAACGAGCCCAACTGGTGAAGTAAATCCCGTGTTAGCCTGACGCGTTTGGCTATTACCCCTTGCCCGGGTTGTTGGTAACCGGAAGTCTGGGTACGGATTGAGGTGTACCGACATCTGGTGAAGCAGCAGCACTACCTCTGGTGAACACGTAGGGCGCTGTGCCTAACCCGAATGGAGGGGGGCACCCGAAATTCGAATACTTGGCCCAGCTGGGCGATTCGAAAGGAGTGGCAACTCGCTGGGTGCATCGGTACGTGCAGGTAGGCCCCGCTTAAGTCTAGCGGGGCTAGCCAGTCGAAACGTTAGATGGAGAATAGAACCCTGAATGGTGTCTCCATGTGGAACCGATCGAGGAGCACGTACTGATTCAGTCTGCCTAGGTCCAAAACTGGCCGCCTGCCACTTGTAGATTTGGTACTACGAACACATTTGGGTAGAAGCCTGGCCTTAGTTCCAGCTGATGTACCCTGTGTATGATTGCTTCCGCCTTGCGGGAGTCCCCTGGCAGTGCCCAACAGGGGAGACACTGACGGGGGGAAATGGAGATTTCAGCGGTATCTCGTAAACGAATGTCACCACCTGGAAAGGTCCAGGGATCGGTCACAGGGATCGGTCACAGGGATCGGTCACCCGCCGTCTCCAAACCGGACTACACCGGCGCAATCTGTGTACGACAGGGATATGTGGCCATGTGTTCGGTAGTTGCGAGGGGGGGTGTTCCCTTCCCCCATGAGGTGAGTTCCCCAAGGCCTGAAGTAGTCACTAAGTTGTGACCTGGCCATTCACCGAACACGTGCCCCCCATTCCCTGAACAAAGAGGGTGGAGGATTTCCAGTCTGCATCACTGAGGTGGTCCCACACGGGCACAGTGTTCCCCATAAAAGGTACAGTCCCGGTACACTCAAGCAAAACACGCAACTCACTTTAACCGATTTGTTTACTGGACGCGCGACCTTGCTGTGACGCGGTCAGTCTCAGCGATATTGATGGCTCTGAAAGAAAATCTCAGGCCTCGGATGCGGGTTCTATGCTGGTAAATTCTGAATATAACCACTGCACAGTCGACTCGAAACACGAGGAGACCAGAAAGAAAACGGCAGCGAGCCCTGGTGCTGTCATTACATCTATATATTGCTAAATACATTGAAAATAAAAGACGACATGCATGAGGGAAACGAATTACAGTTGTAAAAGGTGCTGCCATGAAAACCAACTAGTTACGTAGTGGCGCCGGATTTTAGTTTCTTTGTTGTGAAAAACACTACACACAAAGGGGAAAACGACAGAAGGGTAAAAATGACAAGGAAAACTTATCCTACCAGCTACAATGTCGGATGTCGTGCAGCGGCAACAACCCAAGCTATAAATCCGGACAGAAAAAAAAAGCAGGCGATCCAGCAGAGCTCGCTAGATTTCATCTCCACTCGAGGCGGAGAGAAAATCAGAGTGATGGATGGCTACCTGGGGCGCTGCCAGGTGGCCTCGGTCACGTGGGTTCGTGACGTAAGGGGTAAAAGAATCTTGAGGTCATGGGGCTTCCCCTGACCTGGATTCTATCTCTCCGTCACCGGCAGAATCGTTGATTAATGCCTACAGTTC